AATCTATTTCATTACCAGATCACTCTGCATGATTTCGAATTTCGACAAAATATGTTTATTGTAATTCCCATCTTATTATAAAGAAATAGTCACTAATGTTGAATTTTGTTTATACGTATGACAGGTACTACAGCACCAGTAACACCAGGGCCTGTCACTCCGGCGCCACCAACTCCAAGACCACCAAGTAAGGTGTTTCTGATGAAATATTACTTTAACATGCACGTAATTGCCACAACGCCGTCCTGAAATTTAGCAATTTAATTTTGGGGCACAGGAATGTCTAATTTTAATTCATTCCTTAAAAAGTATCAAAAATAGAGTGCATGTCATAAATGTGTGAAACAATAGCGTAACTATTTTTTGGGCGTATCGGTATTAAGTTGCATAGCTGCTAACTTCGTAGTTATTTTCTTCATATAAGAATTGATTCAGGCGTAAAAACAAAGACACAAAGAAATCGTTAAAATGCGTCTATCTTTGATTTCTTTGTGTCTTTGTTTTTACGCCTGAATCAATTCTTATATGAAGAAAATAACTACGAAGTTAGCAGCTATGCAACTTAATACCGATACGCCCAAAAAATAGATACGCTATTGTTTCACACATTTATGACATGCACTCTATTTTATTATGGAGAACATGTGATGTTAGGTGTATGTCAGAACACGCATGAATCTGTTTTTGAGCTTAACCACTACAGAATAATCAAATCTAGACGCATTCCCCTAACCTGCCATACTGAGTAGATCGTTTTGTCACTAAATAAATAAACGTGACTGATAAATATCGTTTTTTCAAGTTTTCAAGTAAGAATTTCTTATCTCAGCTCACTTCCAACACTCAATTGGAAGGTTTTCCGACAACTAATTCCACAGTGCTAATTCAAATTAGATCTGCTTATGCAATCCAATCAACTAGGCGATCGGACAGTTGATCACTTGTTTGATCTTAGCCAATCAGCGCGCGGTTCCAGACTGAAGCACCATCCCACAAACCATCGCAAGCTGAAAATAATTTCCTTCTCACTGTATAAAATTCGAAAAAGAACGAGTAAAAGTGGAAATTTACTTTACAAACAGGCACATATATTAAGTTAAACCATTAAATTTTGCCTTTCGCGCAAAAGACGATAGAATTCTTCTTGTTTACAACATTGTACATGCGCGCACTGAATGATGGGATGGAGCCTTGATTGAATATACCAGCCGTTCCTTGAACACGCGCGCCGATCGCCTGGCCAATCACAAACAAAATATATGTCGGCCCAATAATACACCAAAAGATGTCAGCAAATTGACTAGCTTCAAAACTTTTAAATTCGACTTACTTTTAGTAATACTGGCTTTTATCAACGCCATATCAACCTTAAATCAGACTATATATATCTCCCTTTTCATTATCCCTCCAAGAGCTTTGTTAATAAACTATTTGAAATTAGAAGGATTTTAGAAATGCTTATAGCATCTAAAATGTATGTGACATTATCTCGTTTAAAGCCTGTGTTGACAAGGATAATAGATGCACATATTGGACTTCGTACTGCAACTCCAATAACTACGTAAAGACAAACTGCTTGAGGACATGTGGAAGATGTGGAGGTGGCTGTAAGTAAACGTTCTCATTGTCATTTCTAGCTACAAATACTCCAGTTTCGAATTCAAAGCGAATAACCGCTGTTT